TGGACAGACAGAGAGGGTCACAGAGAGGGAGGGAGAGAGAGAGAGAGCACAGGGGTAGAGAATATGGGAGGTATAATGTTCAAATGACATAAAATACACAGGAGAAATTGATTGGATATGTCAATGAATGATTTGGTTGTAATAACTAATAGCAGTTAGAAATGATCAGGAAACCTTATTTCAGACAACACACACACTGTAGAATAGAGCATACTGAATAAGAAAGGCATGCTGAATAAGGGATAAATAAAAACAAGTGTTGGAAAAGATGTAAAAAAATTGGGATATACTCTGCCATATATCTATATCTGTATCTATTGCTATATATCAGGCAAAATGGCTCAGCAGGGTAAAGGCTCTTGCTGTACGTGCCTGATGACCTGAGTTCAATTCTTAGAAATCACACAAAGGTGGAAACTGACTTTACAAAGTTGTCTTGTGACTGCCATATGTGTGGCATATGTGCTCATATATACCATATATACCTCTCTCTCTCTGTCTCTCTCTCTCACAGACACACACACACAGAGAGAGAGAGAGAAAGAGAGAGAGAGAGAGAAACAGTTTAGAAAAGAACTAGAAGCTCCATAGGTTGCTGGTGGAAATGAGAGCCAGGGTAGCCACCTTAGAATAGTATGACAGCTCTCAAAGGTAAACACAGTATTCTTGTAGTGCCTAGGACTTCCGCTAGTACGTCTGTACCCATGAGAATGGCATGTTCACAATATCCTCAATTGACAAAATATAAAAATAAAATTCTAAAATACCCATTGATGTTGAAAAATTCCTAAAACAGGATATATCTTTATGATGGGATAATATTCGGCAAACATTAAAAATGAAGAATTAGCATCCATGCAATAAAGGAATCTTGATATTACATAAAGGGTAGCAGTGAGGTCTACATGCTCTGATTCCATTTGATCAAACTGAGAAAAGCAAATTCTTTAAGACAAAGTGGTTTAGGGGCTGTCAGGGGATGGTGGGGGCTCAGGATGGATAGGAAGTGATGATTGATGGATATGAGGGTTATTTTAAGGGCAACAAAAATGCCTAGATTGATTTTGGTGGTGGTTGCAGTTTTATGAACACATGGAAGGCCACAAAACTGTATGTTTTGCATAGAGGAACCTTATACCTCTTGCCTAGCAAATGCAAAGCCCTGGGTTTGATCCCCAAAGAAAATGATGTGGCCAAGTGCCTCCAATTCTTATTGCCCTGCTAGAACAAGGCACATCTTTCTGGCTGTTTCTTTAAAGATTCAAATGTTCAACCTCCCTCTAGGTTTGCTTCATTAATGAGACAATATGGTTGCAATACACGCTTCTGAAAGTCATTTGGTATCACTTTTTAAAAATGGCAGTGATTCATCAGACAGGATAAGGGAAAGTAGACTGACAATGGCCTGCTCTGATGAGCCACTTTTCAGCAGATGCAGGGAAAGGGGCCAGCAGCTCAGGCCTCACAGAGCAAGCAGATTAGCATCTAAGAAACTCGGAAACTGGCCATTTGCTGGGAGTTTTGCCCTCAGAAAGGACCTGAATTACCTCCCATCACTCCTGTGCCAGCCCATCTTCCTTCCTTCTTTCCTTCCTTCCTTCCTCCCTCCCTCTGTCCCTTCCTTTTTCTTTCTTTCTGTACTGAACCTAAGCCCTCTCACATGTCAATCTGTACACACAAAGCATTCAACTTACTTCATTAAATTGCCCACGCTGGCTTTGAACTTAGGACCCTCCTTCCTCAATGTTCCAAATAGCTGAGAATCCAAGCCTATAAAACCAGGTCTAGCTAGGTGCCAGCATTTTGTGTTTGGTTTCTGTTGTTGTTTTCATTATCTTCTTTAGTCTTTACATCAACCCTCTACTGAGGTGTGATCCTCATTTTACAGAAAAGGAGTCAAGGGCAAACTCAAACAGAACCTGCCTTGAAAGAAATTCCTCTAGACTGTAGGCAGAGCAGGCAGTCGGAAGTACTGACCAAAGAGGCAGGCCCTCTCTGCCATCAGTCCCTTTCCAGCACAAGGCCAGGAAGGATTACTTCTACAACTGCTTGGGAGAACTCTGAGAAGAAGTTTCCAGCAGCTTCGAGCCCACCTCTCTGGCCTCAGGCCTTCCCTGGCAATTGGAAGGATTTGTGGTCTAAGTCCCTGAAGTCAGAGGTAGACAAAAATCCATCGTCACTCACCAGGACAGAAACAAACCTCAAGATAATTTGTTTTCCAATGGTTTTGGCTTAAAGTTCTGGTTTGGCATTGTTTTTTTTTTTTTTTTTTTTTTTTTTTTTTTTTTTTTTTAAACAACTAGCAGCTGTAGGCAATTTTCTCACACACAATAGAGACATCAATACGCAAAGAGTGGAATTTTCTCTCTTTGAATGCAAAGTAACAAGCAATCTTCAAGATACACATGGAGCTGCCACCACCAGCTCCTGGGTGGGGTTCAATTCAGGGGTCTGACAGAATATGATGGAAGGAGCAAAGATGCAGAAGCTACAGAGATACTAGCTCTTCACTGGGTCCACAATCCACGAGGTCTTCAGCTATCAGTGGCACACCTCTCCTCAGGTACACACTCAATCGTAAAGCCCTTTGAGCAGGAAATAAAACCAAGCCATAAATGCATCATTACTACCCTGCTCCACAGTCATCATGGCCCATGATTCACAGCCCCTCCCTGGGAGAGGACTATGCATCCTCCATCCATCTTGGTGACCTCATCCTTGGCCATGTGACTAGTGGTGCCAACCTCTACCAAAGAATGACCCTGTCTAACCCTGTGTTTTCAAGCATGTCTATGTGATCCACATTGGCAACGAAGCATGGGCCCCAGTGACATGCTACTTATAGACTTAGAGATTGCTGCTGCTTTTCCTCTTGGGAAGAAGGTGGCCAGGGACAGAACTACAGCTGAGCCGGGGTGAACCCCTAACACTGATGCAGGCTAAGGCCTCTAGCCCTTCCTCCCAGCCCTCTGAAAGTCTTCCCTGACCATATCCCCATCACCTGCCATACACCCCACAGCAAGTGTTCACATGACCCCTCCAGGGGAACCCTGGGCTTGTAGCTTTGATAATGGTAGAACTTCTGCTGCTATCAGCAAGAATTCATCACAGTTCTGAGGGCCAGGTTTAACTTTCTTTGTGTGTGCTTTGTTTTGCTTGAGACAGAGTTTGATGTATCCCAGGATGGCCTCAAACTTGCTATGGAGCCTAGGATGACCTTGAATTTCTGATCCTCCTGAGTCATCATGACCAGTTTATGTAGTGCTGGGGACTGAATCCAGGTGTCATAGCTGATCTTCATTGCCAACTCATTAAGCTTTGGAATACACCACGGATACACAAGTCTGGGTATGTCTGCAAAGGTGTTTTCAGAAAGATTTAAGTGAACAGGCAAGACCCACCCTGAATGTGAGCAGCAACATTCCGTGCACTGGAGTATTGGACTGACACAAAGGGACAACACTCATCTGTCTCTGCTTCCTCAAGTCAGACACATGTGACTAATAGTTGTGCCACACTCCTGCTGCCATGCCTTCCTGTCACTCTTGGACTAAAGCCAAAGAGACACTTCTCTCTTAAGTGGCTCTGTGTCAGGTCGGTTACAGGAATGAGAAAAGTCATACATCAGAGTATCTTGTACACTAGGCAACTGAACTATATACCGAGCCAGCCACCTGTGTGGGTGTGGGTGTGCAACATAGGCTGGCCTTCTAAAGATGACCTTGAATTCCCAGTTATCCCACCACCATTTCTGAAGTGCTAGGATTGCAGGCATGTCCCATCACAGCTGGTTTTAGCTTTTTATTTTAAGACCTAAAATCAAGTTCTTCATGGCTTAGGGAAGGCAGAAGGGATAAAATATTCAATATCATAAAGTATAAACATGCAATCATAAGCTATCTTTTTTTTATCCTAATCAACTCTGCTCAAAATTTGGCTCACTTCTCCTCCCAGGAGACCAAAATGCAAACCTCAGCTCCACAGACTCTCTCTTGCTGGCTCATCTTTCCATTTTTGAATTCTCATCTGTAGCTGGGACAACACTGTCAGTGACACAGCCGACTTTCTGCCCCAAGAATCAAGCAAAAGACCACAATCACGTGGCCCAATGAGAACAAACTCCACTAGGAAATACTGGCTGTGATCAAAGGATGATACGGTACTCCTGGGACTTTACTGAACACCTTGAAGGGTCATACACTAGACCCCACCCACTGTGGCCTGATCTGGCTTAAATATGGAAGGAATACCCTACAGTCTTCAGAAACTGGGATCAGAAAAATAACATGGCCATCTATACTTAAGTAGGCAAGTTCAGAGTAGTGAATGAAGCAGGGTCTTGCTGATCTCTATACTAGCTCTCTGTAAATTACAGCATAAAAGTGAAGAGTCCACTTGCACCTCTTGATGAACAGGTCCAACCCGGTCTATATCATCTCATTTGAGGACAGTGATCTCTACAGTGTGATTGTATCTATAAAAAGTTTTCCACAACAGCTGTTACTCCAATCCTGTCATTAGTCTAAGTAATAATACTGCACTTAAGTACTGATGTCTTTCGCCAAAGTTCAAAGACAAATTGGGAAGCATGACTAATTTTCAAACAGCACTAATATTATACATGGAGAAAGGAGTGGGGAAACATGGAGACATCCCAGGTGTGATGTAGATGCAGAAGTTACACACGTAAGTATAGACCTGAGGAAGAATGTGGATGGATTAGAAAGAGCAAGTTAGGATACAGTACCTACCACTATTTGAACACCCAAACATTGAAATCCCTTTTCTGCCTACTTGAAGCACAAACAAACCCCTTGAATGTACAGTCATATGACCCTTTTCAACATTCACCTGTCACAATCTGTGCACACACATATATACTTTTCCATAGTTCAGTAAGGACAGTAAAGGTTCAGATACAGCTAAGCCAACCCAACCCATTGCCTCTCCTCTTCTCCCCCGGCTTATCAACAACATTAGTGTAGACATCTGGGACTCACCACAAGTTCACTGAACATGACATCCAGCTCCTCCACAGGGGGCATGGGCAGCGCTGGCTCCATGGTCTGAAGTGCAAAGTTGCTATCATTCCGAAGCCGATATGTAATTTCTGGGTGATCATTGTTTCGGAAACAGCAAAAGATAAATGAAATCCCTCGTCCACCTCTCTTCCTCGGGGCCATGGTTGAATTTCCTATTTCTTGATATTACTAAACTCTGCAAAAAGAAGATATGACATGGTTGAATATGACAGACAAAAAAATGTTTGTTTTTTTTTAAATCAAACCAATTCAAAAGAGAGTTGCCTGTGCTTCTGGCAACATGTAGACTCTACAGGAAACAAGGAGGGCAGACAATCCATGTCCTTCCATTCACGTATTGAATCCTTCTTTAAGCCAACTGTGTACAAAAAGTTCAGCTCCAGATACTGCACCCTGCAACATGGCCAGTCCAGATGATGGCTGGCTATTCTTTGTATGGAATTCCTTTTCCTCAGAAATGACTGTTTCTGAAACGTCTCTTTGCATCAGACAGAAATCATTTCAGAAAACCACAACCAATCAAAATGCAGAGTTGTGGAGCCCAAACCCAATGGACTCCCACACCTAAGGTCCAGAGAACATTGCAGAACAGAGACCAGAAGGATTAAGAGCCAAAGGATCAGGGAGTTTGCTGTGAGATTGTGTCTCCTAGTAATATCAGAAGCTACACCCATAAAGTCTGACAAATACCACAACCCAAATGTGAGCTAAACAAGTATGATACCAATGAACATACCAAACTGAATGGGGACACCCACAAAGCCTCAATCCTACACACAAAGGGGGGAAAAAACCAACAACAACAACAACAACAACAACAAAAACATTACAACTAAGCTGGGAGTGGGAGAGATGGTCTTACTCAGGGAAGAGCATACCAATTGGTTGTCTGGTGCCAGATGATCACCCCTGAAAACATGCACACAAGCAGCATTACATGAACTCAACAGGTTACATTTTAGAATATGTATGTATGTATGTGTATACATATATATATATATATATGAAAAAAGAGGCCAAGAATGAAGGAGACTAGGAAAGGGTTTATGGAGGAGGGGGATTGGAAGGAGGAAAGGGAAGGGAGAAATAGTGTCTGTAAATTATAATCAAAAATAAGCACCAACCACAAAACAAAAAAAGAATGATTGCTTCTTCTTTGGTCCCAAGAAAATCTCATTATCCTTGCTTTCAAGTTAAAGCTTTATATCTTTTCTTTCACTTTTTTAATTATTTGTGGGGAGGGACATTTTGTGGCACAGTTCTTATGTGTGGAGTCTGGGAACAATTTGGGGGAGTCAGTTCTGTCTTTCTAACATGAGGGCTCCTGGCACTGAACTTAAACTCAGGTCATCAATCCGGGTGGTAAGTGCCTTTACCTGCTGAGCCATCAAGTCAGCCCTCAAACATCTTTAAATTCCGTCACCTCCCATAGGTTGACTGCGTAATACTGAATAGATGCTGTCCTAGCACGTGTGCAGTCCTGTTCTTTATCCTGTATCTTCTGTTAAATAGTGATAACTGAAGCACGTGGTCTAATGTACTTTGTCTAATGCCAGAAACAGAGGAGTCACTCTGTAAATGTTTAACATAACTGAAGTTAATGACAAATCAAAAGCTTTAGCGATTAGCACTTTTTAAACAGAAAGACAAGAGTCCACCAATAAGGAAAATATTGAAATAAATTACAGCAGGTTCACAATAGAATATTATGAATTCGTTAACCAGAACAAGACACCCAAATTGTAAGTAAAAAAAAGAAAGTTCAAGTACTATATACATGGTACACATACTATATACCCTGCAAGATTACAGGGTGTTTACAGAACATATTAAGATTTATGGATATATACATAGATACTAATAACAGTAGCCTCAAAAATAAAAACGTTTGGGGAGCTGTCCCTTTCTATCTTATACCCTTTTGAATTTTCACCATAAAATTGTTTTTAAGGAGTTGAGTATTTTTTGCGTTACAACCATATTTTGTCTGGGAATTATTTCCAAGTGATACAACCAAGGGAAAAACCAGGTCCCAGAAAACCCACGTAGTGAGTGTTACCACAGCACATATTAAAAGCAGTCTCACGGACAGGAAAGGAAGCACTGGGAGGTGACTGTGCAGCGCTGCTTCCGGCGAGAGCCCAGCCCATGTAAGTAGTACAGACAGGTCTGTAGTGCCAGCGGCCCTACAAGGAGACAGGAAACAGACAGGAGAAGCTAGGCGCTCTCCAGAGGCTAGCCTAAGCTTATGCAGCAGGAGGCAAGAGATCCATGTCAAGCGAGGTGGAAGGGGATAGGGTCACCACACTTTAGCGTTGAACACAGGTGGCTTGCTGAAGAGCTATAGAGAATGCCAAGCCCCTCCCAGGGGGAAGACAGCTGATTTCAGAGATGAAGTCAATGATGCCATGTTCACAATTAAGGACAAAGCAGTTTGTCCTCCCACTCAGAGCTAGCAGATGGCAGGCACTTCCTAAAAGACAAGAAAAGACCCAAGGGGGAGGAGAAGGCCTGCATCTGTCTAAACTTGAGCTGATCTCTGGGCTGAGACAGAACCAGGCTCAGAACAGTGCTGCTTCCAAGGTAGGATTGAAAGACAGTGGGCCACAGCTATGGGAGCCATAGGCAGCTCTCTGTGAGCAAGGAAGATCAGGTAGCAGGAAGGAGCCCCTGGCTGGCACTGTTATCTTCAAACCATTCCTCTTAGGAATGCCCAGGGCAATAATGCACCCTAGCTATCTCAGAAAACTTCCTGCAATTAAAAAGAACATGCACAGCCAGCTCGTCTCCCGAGCCTCTTCAACCTGTCCCTCCTGCCTTCCCACCTTGCCTTGGGTTACTGCATCTAAAACACACGGACCATGTTGGCTTCGATCTCAGGATCTTTGCACCAACAATGTCAGAGACTGGCAGGTACACAGATGAATCCTCATGATAAAGCATGAGCACTCCCTCAAAGAGGCCACCCCCATTATGGTCTACAGTAGTCATTTTTCCATATCCCGTGCATTATCCCTCCATGCCAGTGAAGCTCTGCAGAGCAGTTGCCACTAGTTGGTTATTTTATGAAGGAAGAGCCATAGTAAATACTTAGGGAATACTTGTTAGGATTCAGGCATCGTGGGGGCCTGTGCTTGGGGTTCTGACAGGATACACCCTCAGCTGTAGCCACTAAGAGCACCACCTGTGCATAGTCACTATGTCCCTTTTTAAAGGGCCCTGCCCATCTCCCATCCTCTCCTCTCCCCCCTCTTTCTCCCCTCCTCCTCTTTCCTCTCCTCTTCTCCTTTCTCCTGCTTCCTGCTGCTCCCATACCCAGAAGCCAGTCTTCTCCCCTGCCCTTTCCCTAATAAAAATCCCCTCTGCTTGAACCCTGTCTCATGGCATCTTTCTCTCATGCGCTACTTTTCTTAAATTACAATCACACTGAATTTTAATATTCTAGCTAATTTTAAAGGGCTCTACTTCAAAAAATTTACAAACTCTGGGGCAGGAAGATGAAAGTTGGGCACTTAACTTTGGCCTATAAGGCTTTCAGCTTTTAAAGAGCAATGTATTATGCAAGACTGTTGCACGTAATAATACAAATAGAAACACAAGACAGAGACTAGAAACAAGTGTGGTAGCATTTAAAAATAGTTCTGGAGAGATTTTTTCTTTAGTTTTATCCTTAAGTTTTACAAGTGAAACTCTACAAACCCCACTGTAAAAAGCATCACCATTTTTTTTTTTTTTTTTTTTTTTTTTTGGTTTCCGCATTAATATTTTGGGAAAGATTTTATACATAACCATGGCTTGCAAACATCTCTGGGACTGAGCCCTTAGCTGTTTAGGCAGTGAGAGGTGTGGGCATGGTTTCTCAGCATCTGCAATTCCAAGCCCTTGGGACACGAAGGGAGGGAGGGATGTAGCCCTGAAGGGTGACCATGTTGGCTCTGAGAAAAAAGATTCAGTTCAGACATTTACTATCTTACTGAACTGGAATATGCATTTCTTGGTCTAAGGTTTACATATAGGTCATACAACACACATGTGGTACATGGGAGTCCCTTGACAAATGTTCATCAGTACCTGCTATGTCCCATACACAGTGAGCACCTAAGGATTCAGAAATGGGAACTTAGAGCCAGGGGACAGTAACATATCAAATCATTAAAACAAAGGTAATATGACATAACCTGACAGCAAGCTTCAGGAAAACCGGCAGTAAGATCTGGAAACAGTCCTTGATAGACAAGCAGAGTCAGAAGCGAGCAGGAAAGCGGGACACTCCAGAAGAGGGGATGGGGGCACTGACAAGGGTGTCGGGCATGTGTAGCCTGAGGCAGGCTAGTGCACATCCTCAGTTTCCTATGGGAAAGCCCTGGGCTCTCATTTCTTTGCTCAAAAATCTGCTAATGGTTCCCTCAGTACTATTTTAAATGGGCTTTCAGTGCTCCAAACTGAATTTTAGCCCAATTTTCCCATGTTTTTTATTTTGTTAATAGTATCCTACTTTATTCACAAGCCACTTCCTATGTCCGCCCAAATATCTTGTACTCCTACCATTTTCATCCTAGGCAGCCCCTTGTTCTTCATGACTTCTGTCAACATCCTCCCGCCCTGCCAGTACCAGTCTCCAGAGCACTCGGGCTGTGAGACACATCTGTGGCCGATGGCAGCTGGGATCTGGTTCAACAGTTCTTAAAGCAACCTATCAAAGCCTTAAAACAGGCACACATTCTGACCTAGTATTTCTGCTTCTGGAAATATACCTTAAATGCTCGTTCTGAAACACAAAGATGTACTTTGTTTCTCCTCTCCCTCTCCCCGCTACACACACACACACACACACACACACACATCAAACCATCCAAAACAGCCAATAAATAGTAGCATAAGATAAGAGACAATGATGGGAAATTATGTAAAAATTGTTATATAATGGCACAAAGATGGTGGATCAGCAGCAGCTATTTACAAGAGGATACGAATGATATGCTCATAACTATAGATATACAGTATCACATTTTATTGAAAGTCTACATGCATAAAAGCATAAGAAGAATGGGAGAGATTTATCAATATCAGCAGTGGTTGACTCTGTGATATGTGCAGATCACCTGGACTTTCTAAGACATAAAGCTTCTATTGTGCCCCATATTGTTAAAATGGGGCATACTATATGTACCATTA